TCAACATAAAAATAACTCCTGGTCTCTTGGTATTGAGAAGACAGCTCCGGGAAATAGAGCTGTCTTCTGTGAGCCCTAGTCTTGAGTCTGCCTCTGACCAGCTAATGTGCTTCTGGGCAAGTAATTCTTCAAGACCCAAAGGTGACGATTTTGGACTAGTGGATACTAAGGTTTGTTGCAGCCCTAATATATTGATACCTGGTACAAAAAATAAAATCTGCTTTATTGATGCATCATGGAAAAGCAGTATGTTTTCCACAGCACCTGTCAGACATTTAGGGGTACCTAAATTCATTCTCTTTAAAGAATAAAGAATTCATATGCAGTCCAAAGATTGCCTTTCTTGAAACATGCATGCATTTTTGAGGATAGTGTGGAAGAGCTTAGTTTTCTGGGTTTTAAAAGATCTGTCAGGCTACTGTGGGTGCTATGTACTCGTCCTCAGCACTATTTTTGGCAGTGGGGACTTAGGTGTATTTTCAGCCCCACACAGGCTGTCCTTGGGTGCTTGTCCTCTGGGCCAGGAAGGGGGATAGGTGCCAGGGGAGGAAGGCAGGTGTGACGTGGACAGCCTGCCCCTTGGATGGCTCATGGCTTAGAAGAATGACACCCATAGCTTGGCAAGAGCTGAAGGGCTGTTTTAGAAATGTTTTCAGGGTGCACGGAGGCCACATGGGAGGGAAATGTCGGGTCCTTTTAGGAGATAAGGTTAGGAAAGACCGAAGATGTTCTTGAGCTGGGTCAGTTTAGAGATACTTTGACTCTAACAGTAAATCATCTCTGTTGGAAAAAAATGGGACACAGTGATTTCTAACCTAATGAATTTTTCCATTGTTTCAAAGCTCAGATTTTGTTTTTAAGTTCTCTCGAAGTCAAACTTAGAAAACTCGTATCATTTATAATTTAATATTTTGCTAAATTATAATTTCCTAATTCTAACCAGCATTCTTAGTTCGGTGTATATAGATACACATAGAAGCAAGACATTTATTCCCCCTTAATTTGTGGGAAACTTTTATTACGTATCAATCCCCGACTACCAGAAAAACTAGCATCAAGTTTTTTAAACGACATTCAAATATAAACCGATTGTATCATTGTGAAACGAATGGTTTTTCTGACTTGGGCGTTCAGTCTTAGCCTTAAATTTTTCATGTGCAGAATGGAAGCCCGTTTCACAGGCTCATGATGCGGTGTTTGAAGTAAGGTAACAGAATCATCAGGTTGAAATCGATCCCAGCTTACCTTGGAATAAGATCCCAAGCTTATCTTACTTTTCATCTTAGGAATCTGGCTGTTAGGATTCATAATTGTATATGAAGTACTTGAGAAGTCCTGAAGGATTGTCTCCTGATCTCAGCACTGGTACTTTTACTCATCAGCTGATACAAAGAACTCATTCTTTTTCCATGATCACCTCTCACGCGTGTCCACGTGTCTCTAGGCGGGAGGACGGGGAGGGGGCTGGGCGAACTGTCACAGGCCACAGGCTGTGCACTTACTGTAGACGGCCGAATGAATGAACATATGCTACATGTTTCGCTGGAACTTGGTCACTTAGCAATACCCAAAGGCTCTAACTGCCCTGAGTCTGGGAAGAGACAGTCTTGGAGGGGTGTTAGTTTTCAACGTGCTCTGTTGATCTTGCTCGAAATTAGGCCTTGAGTTTACTGAATCCTTAAGCTGCCGTTTCGTGGTCAGGGTTTATTTGACTCTTTAGGAAGTTTCTTATTTGGAAGAAGGAATTTGATTTTAATTTGATACAGGAGGCCAAGTGTAGCTCCCCATTAGAGAGGTCACGTATTTGTGATAGTGTGTTAGATAAAAGGAGTGGGGGATTATCTAAAAGGAAAGGAATTAATATTTGTTCAGTGCCTGTTCTGGACCAAGCGCTTTGCTCAAGTGCCTTTTAAATATTATGCCATTTAATGTTCCCAGTAAGGCTCAGGTGCTTTGCATACATTGTTGTTTACTCTGCCAGTAACAACAGGGCGATTGTTATCGACATTTTAATCCTCCAGTGAGGTCACCTAAAACTCACACAGCTGGTAGGTAGTGAGATTGGGATTCAAACTCAGGTCCCCTGGCCTGAATCTGCCCTTTCTGCTCCAGAGTTCTGTGGAATGTTGGCTCCGAAAGGCAAAATAAGTGCTTTGCTGAAGAGTTCACTTTTGTAAGTTGATCAGAAGTTTGGTTTACTTTTTAAAAGGAGGTTTTCTCTGGGAGATTAATTCAGGCAGCTTTAATTTAACTTAGCCAGAGACAGAAGATCTTTGTTAGTTTGTGTACGGTCACCTGCTTTTCTTGGCCAATTCTGTGTTGTTCTCCTGTGCCAAAACATGACCTCCAGCTGTCCTCTTAGGGTGTCGGCCTCCCGAGTTAGCGTCGAATTCCCCTGCCGGGTGAATTCAGTTGCCATCAGCACAGGGCTCTATGTATCTCTGCTGGAAATTAATACTTAGGATTTATTAAAGAAAGGGTAAGAGTAGGGAATGTGCAACATTGAAGTGACAAACGTGGGTTTTGGAGTAGTTTCAAATGGTAGCTCTGTCATCAACCGGAGAAGTGACCTCTGGCAAAAGTAGTCTCCACCAGGCTCAAGTTTTTCTTTATGTAAAGGGAGAATGCAAATGGTAGTTCACGGTGTAGGAATTTATCCTTTGAGTAAGGTTCAGCTCCCTTTTATGTAGGATGGGAACATTTATTGGGCACCTACTGTGTTCTCTCCCTCCTTCCCCTCCCTCCTTCCCCTCCCTCTCTCCCTCTTTCCCCCTCCCTCTCTCCTTCTCCCGTTCCATATATATCTATCTCTATCTATCTATCTATCTATCTATCTATCTATCTATCTATCTATATATGGTGGTGATTGTTAGGATATAGGGAGGAAAGATACAGTCCCCAGCCAAACGTATTGCCTGGTGCAGTGGGTAATGTTAGAAAGTAACCAGCCCGGTACGTGAAACACTAAGCTGGGAATACAAGTGGCCCGCTGTACCGCAGGAGGGGGAGTGGGGTGGGGGCAGTGTGGTTCCTGGGGGAGATGTCCTGTTAGTCACTTGCTGCAACTTGCAGGACAAGCATTCTGGGTAGAGGGAATGCCATGTACAAAGATGCAGACAGACAGGAAGACACTCTGATGTAGGGGACTCCAGGTAGTGGGTATGGCGGGAGCGGGGAGTGTAGAACCGCGGGAGTGAGGGAAAAGCTGAAGAAGGGCGCGGGCTGCCCTGTCGGGCAGGGCTTGCTGTGCCTTGAGAAGACTCGACTTCAGCTGGAAGGCAGAGGGAAGCCGTCCAGTCCTATCTGAGTTTTGGAGAGTTG